TATTTTTCGGGTCAATCAGAAATACAATTTGGCTGCCATGGCCGCTATTTTGCTACTAAATTCTAATAGGCCGATCTCACTTAAAATTGGTCTAGGAATGATCAGCTCATGGTCCTGACAAAGTTAAGTTAACATTATACTATTTTTTACTCAAATTGGTACATATTTCAACAAAAAAAAAAATACTGTAGACTCAGGTGACCGTTAAGGCCCATGGGCCTCTTGTTTAAATATCAGCATAGCACACAGTCAATTTGGATAGCAACTTTCACCATTGTTATACAAATGTATACAATTTGATGATCATTGCATGCCAATTTATAGTGCTTTTGGCTTCATAATGTATAGAGTACACAGTACATTCCTCCACAAGAAATACACACTTAACATACCCCTGTATGCTGTATTCCCTTGTCACTGAAAATACCTATAGTTTTGGTAGGCTTCATTCTATATTGAAAACACAAGAACAAAATATCTCTAATTTTGCTTAATTTGATTTAATTTAACAAAAATACTGGCCATTTATATTTTGGAAATGTCTTTGAAATGTTTATACATTAATTGTTTGGGTCAAAGAAGTAATATAGACGGTAAAATCCCATATAACACTGGATCCTAATAGAGGTATGTCCGTAGGATACGAATTACTTAAAATAGTATATGGGACAAAGAAGTAATTCCAACAGTGTGGACAAGTTAAGGTTGTCAAATTTTCGGAGCGATCCGCTCCTTTTTCAAGACACAGTGAAACAGAACAGTTACATGTACATATACATCATATTACAAGAAGATAGAATTGATATACTATAATTGAAAATATAGCTATTATATAAAACCAATAGTCCCCTCGGCTAAAGACAGCCGAAGGCAGCAATAAAGCTGAGAGCATCGCGGACAAGGAACGCTGATGTAGAGGACCTATTCTTGCGCAAGATGCACTGTCATATAAAGTGAGTCAACGAGAGATACCAAAAACGTGGAACATGTGCATTTGGAAATCTGGCCCGGTAAATGTGAAAAATCTCCAATCTGCTACGGAATGTCTCATTAGTCGCCTCTCAAACTGCGATGGATCTAAGTCACAGCAGGGGGTTCCACTTAGTCGCCTCTTTTGGTTTGCAGGAATAATGCATGTGCCTCTATCGGTTTGCAGGAATTATGCATGTAATTATCAAATAAGTGAGTGCAGGAGGAATAAGTAGATAAAATGGCTAAGATACTGTATAAATCTGCAAAATAAATCTGAACGGCTGTTGGTCACACACACTGACATGAAGCAGCAGGCAGTCGAGATAGCAGACCAACTGTGCAGTAATGAATCATTAGGACAAATGCCCCCTGGAAGGAAAATTTGACAACCTAAACTTGTCCACACTGTTGGAATTACTTCTTTGCCCCATACATTAATTGTTTGATATATGTAAATTCTGTGCATAATTCATATGCTGCATTGATTAAACACATTTTTTAAAGTGATGCATCTTATTCACTCTGTCATATGTTGGCTAAATTCCACTTGTTCAACACATTAATTTCTTGTCAAAATTTGTATGAGTTGTCCACAAATTGATTTGTGGACAACACATACACATTTTACACCTTTGTGTGCATACGCTTCACTGGTCATTTGTCTGATGAAGGTGACAGGACATACACTTCACTGGTCATTTGTCTGATGAAGGTGACAGGACATACACTTCACTGGTCATTTGTCTGATGGAGGTGCCAGTACATACACTTCACTGGTCATTTGTCTGATGGAGGTGACAGCACATACACTTCACTGGTCATTTGTCTGATGAAGGTGAAAGTACATACACTTCACTGGTCATTTGTCTGATGGAGGTGCCAGTACATACACTTCACTGGTCATTTGTCTGATGAAGGTGACAGGACATACACTTCACTGGTCATTTGTCTGATGGAGTTGACAGTACATACACTTCACTGGTCATTTGTCTGATGAAGGTGAAAGTACATACACTTCACTGGTCATTTGTCTGATGAAGGTGACAGTACATTCCCTTCACTGGTCATTTGTCTGATGGAGGTGACAGTACATACACTTCCCTGGTCATTTGTCTGATGAAGGTGACAGTACATTCCCTTCACTGGTCATTTGTCTGATGGAGGTGACAGCACATACACTTCACTGGTCATTTGTCTGATGAAGTTGACAGAGTACATACCATACTAGTCATCGAAACGTCACATAGAAACACTGATTGGTGGTGTAACAAGAAACACTTCATAGTACAGATATTAAATAGTTTTTAAGCATTGGCAATAATTTTCAAATTGCAATCAGCAAAAATATTTGGCTCTGTTTACAACGATTATTAATTTATATGACTTGGCTAAAACATGACAACTGTTAAAATAATTACCAAGAAAATTTGATTGCCACAACATCATGATTACCGCTAAAATATGATCAATACTAAAACATGATAACCACTTAATATTACAAATATATGAATAGAACAACTTTACATTCACCAATTACCATAATTTCTATATTAGAGCACTTTTGAATTATAAATTAGTATGATATGCATTAAGGTAAAGGATCCTGACAAGTTAAACTATATTATTACCAATATCACTATTGTAAAATATTTAAGACATTTTGAAAAGAAATATTTCATAAAATCACGTATTGCCATGTATTTGACAGCATTGTAGTTGTTTGAAACTTGAATGTTCGAAAATATAAATAAAAAAGAAAACAACAATACTGCAGGGGTTGAACTGTACTAGGCACCTTTACATTAAAAAGCCTACACTTTATCAATGTTACCATAAAGGAATTACAACACATGAATTTTTTTACAGGGGAAGTCACTCTAAGCCAGATGCACTTTAGGTTCCGAATAAGGTTCATCAGTTTGGTATGAATAATAAAGGCTTAGTAAGTTTGTTTTGAACAAAAACAGGATTTGAAAACTTCTTTTGCAAGCTTTCTAAACATCTGTTTCCTTTGTCAAGCAAAGAGTGTAAATGACCGGTGTCTCGACTCTAAACCACTAAAAACAACTCACCATTAGCCACAGTGTGCCAAATCAGTTAAGTCAGCTGTCAAAAATCACAGAGTCATTTCGCAAAATGGCACTCTAACAGACAGAAACAACTAGAAAGTCTTAGAAAGGGAGGACAACTGGAAAGTTAGAAAAAGAATCGAATCCATCTGGGTTAGGAGGGAAGAGGATTTGATTAACAGAGGAGAAGGGGAGCTCCAGCCGAGTCATCTTTATGAACCAATTTTATGCATCAACTAAAGGGCGGATTGGGTAAACATGTTACCTGTCCCCTGACTGCTTGCAGTAATATTAGAGTGCTATTGGGGGAAAATGTCTATGATTTTTGACAGCTGACTTTACTGATTCAGTTTTCAATTCTTGTTTGTGTTCAAAACAAACTTAGCCTTTAGAGCTTTAGGTTGCTTCATCTTCTATATATAGAATACTCCAAGTAAAAAAAGCTGTGAGTGGAACTCTTTTTTGTGATTTATCTCATTATCCCAGTGAAAACTTGCAAGGTGAGAGAGAGAAATCCTTGAGGTGACTTCTATTTAGCAAAACATCCAATTTCTCACTTCTGTAAAGACTCATAAATAGAGAGACCTCCAACCTCTGTCCTTGAGACAATCTAAAAAAAAATGGACCTCAATCTCTCAGTCCTTAAGAAGAATTACAAAATAGGAGATGTCACTGCAGTCTAGCCTGGTGATGGTTTGGGGTCCTTATGATAATCTACTGCCGGTAATCAAAAGCATGTTAGAGGCAATGGCAAAGGGGAAGATCAACCAATAATAAAAATGTTACACTAAAGATCTACATGATAATGCTGACAAAGTAAAGTAATTATTTTTGGTTGAAGTGTATAAGATCACAGGCCTCTGAAATTTTATTAATGAGTTGATATGATAGATATAGTTCTACAGTAAAGCACACATCCCCAAAAAGGTTGTGGTTTTTTTTACATAAAGAGAGGAGTATTTCGGGGGAAATACTTGACTCGAGGACTATATAATATCTATCAACTCATTAATAAAATTTCAGAGGCACATCTTTATATAGCCCAAGTTTTCTCTGGCCCTAACACCAGACTTAGACATTTTGACATTCAGATGTCTGGTGTGGGCTCACACCATGCAGACATCTCTGTCAAAATGTCTTATGTCTGGTAATCTATAGATTGACAGATGACAAGTTTCAGCCTGTAATATTTTCGAAAAGTTCGCAGGTGTGGCAGGCTTTTTTTTTACAAATTTTACAAAAAAACACCATGAAATCCAAATTTCAGGTTCAATTTTTTGACCTGGGAACAGGCTTGTCAATATTGGTTGTCGGTTAGTTTGGTTTCAAATTGTTCAAAGGATACATGTGATGTTATACATATAGTTATGCAAGTTCGGACGAGATATTGGAACTAAAAAATACTGTTTACATCAGATGAGTTTTTATTTATTAAATTGAACACTAATAGACACTTCTTTGTTGCATGTACATGATTCAGATAAAGTGAAACTGAAAGTAAGGCCTGGTGGGAGCTCTTTCGTGTGGAGACGTGGATGATTGGTCACATGTCGAACAAAATGGACGTCGACGAAACTATGAAAGAGAATGAGGAAACTGAAAAAGGAGACCAGGAGAAAGAGGAGGCTGTAGATATGCTGGAAAGTTTATCGAAGGATTATTCGACTTATCTTGAAATTGATGCGTCAAAAGAGGTATTTTTTACCTGTGTTTTCAACTCTGAAATATCCGTCGCGCGAACTCAAAGCGGTCACTGACACCATCTGCATATATATAGTTTACGTATGGAATAGGGAAATATATTCTAGCTTTAATTTGTAGGACACTAAGGACAGGGCAGACTGTTTTATAATTTAACATATTTACATACCAGATGCAGATGCCTGTGGTGTCACTGATGTATCTAACTGACATTAAATTTATAGTATAATATTTTGCTAAAATGTCGATCATGATCTGATGTTGACGTGCACGTGTAACTAGTTAGTATCAATACTAATATTCAGTGCCCGGTCTGGTATTTAATCGATCCTATGCCTTGTAATGTAGCAAGCCCGATTCGAATCACACCAGGGCGATTTATAATTAATTGACAACACACTGGTCTGCTACTCCATCAATGTTAGAGGTTTACACGGCGAGATACTTTAGACAGGCACCGTGTGGTCGCAGTCGGCAAAATCATATCCGATAGAAAAAAGGCCGACGAGCGGCCTCTTATATTATAGGAGTAATTGGTCTGCATCCATAAACAGGTTTGTAATATCATACTAATATGAACTATTTCTGTTGATCTCCTAAACTCTGCCTAAAATGTTGTTAAATGATCAAGTATAAGTTGCGAGGGAATTGAATGCCAGTGCCATGTTGGAAACTTTTGGTGTCCTCTCTTCTGATATAGGTCAGACGTCATTAATATATGGGTGTCAGGACCCTATGGAAAGCCGTTGTATAGCCCAAGTTTAGTCTTGCCCTGACACCAGACTTAGACATTTTGACAGATCTATAGATGTCCTGTGTGGGGCCAGAGTGCACTCCTTTATGAAAACGTGGAATTTTCCGACACTGTTGGTGTGGGAGAGTTTTGAGGTGGTGACACCAAAAATCAACTATGCCACAACACATCATAACCTCACATAATTATCCATAATTGGATTATTTATTGATCAAGACCGCTATTATTATCACCAACAACTGCTAAATTTCATAATTAGAGTCCTCGGTTTACAATCTTTCAAAATTTCCCACCTGAGCGGATGTCATTTTTGTAGGTCATAGGAGTGACTAATCAACAAAAAGAGATGGTCTGGAAATCTTCTAAACAAGAATGTTATTCTCCGTTTTGGTCCAGATCAGTATGGCTTGTTAATAATAGTCACTCCCATGACCTACAAAAATGGCCTTCGCTCAGGTGGGAAATTTTGAACGATTAAAAACAGAACTCCACTGTAGCCAGAGGAAATTCGGGCTGGCCAGTGTAATACTATATTTGGGCAGGGCAAAGGAGGCCAGGTATGGATATTAGTACTATATTTGGGCATGCATGCCATACATAAAAACAGATCATTCAGATAACATCATACACGATCTGTCATGGTAGTCATTTCTTTGTTTTTCCAAGACGCACTTCGCTAATTTCGTGACATTTTAATTTAACTTTTTTTTTTCATTAACAGAAAAACAAATTTGGTGAAACCATTGAAGATATGTTGACCAAATTGGATGAGTTTGGTAGCCTTGTGGATATGGTAAGCCAGAAAAATTGATGATTTCTTGAACTATAAGAATATTTCCCCTTGTAAATAAAAGGTATGGATGTCACAGTGAGTTTCTTTTAATAAATTGGATCATGAATTTGTACTGACATGAAAATAAAATCCGTGATTTGTTTTGAAATTCATGAAATTAAGTACACATGTACAGGTATCTCTTTTTATGCCCCCACCATGAAATGGGGCATATATGTTGCCCATATCCGCCCTGTCCCGTCCCACATCTCAAACACTGAAACTAATTTCACATGGTGACGGGGGCATTCATGTCTTACAGACATTTTCTAAGGTGTTTGTACATTGTAGATACGCAGTGACTCCACTCTCTGTCTAACGTCCACACTACCTAAGATACAGAGGAAACAGGCTGAGATCCAGGATATGTTTGACAAGATCGACAGACTAGAGGTTTGTATTTAAGCTGCCAAAATACATTGGCATCCAAATGTTAATGGGATTAACTTTCTGTGATGGTGATTATCAATATTGTCCCCTGCCACAACACATTAGTGGATTAACTTTCTGTGATGGTGATTATCAATATTGTCCCCTGCCACAACACATTAGTGGATTAACTTTCTGTGATGGTGATTATCAATATTGTCCCCTGCCACAACACATTAGTGGATTAACTTTCTGTGATGGTGATTATCAATATTGTCCCCTGCCACAACACATTAGTGGATTAACTTTCTGTGATGGTGATTATCAATATTGTCCCCTGCCACAACACATTAGTGGATTAACTTTCTGTGATGGTGATTATCAATATTGTCCCCTGCCACAACACATTAGTGGATTAACTTTCTGTGATGGTGATTATCAATATTGTCCCCTGCCACAACACATTAGTGGATTAACTTTCTGTGATGATGATTATTAATATTGTCCCTGCCACAACACATTAGTGGGACATGCTTTAGGGCCACATCAGAAGAATGCTTCACTTATTTCCTTCAAAGTTTGTTTATAAATGTTTTAATTATTAAATGACAGGATGATGCAGTGTCATTCCTTTTGTGTTTGGTTTGCAGGCGTTTGTGTCGGTGGTACGTGAGAACACAGCCATGATGGAGGAGTGTGTCAACAGAGCAGAAGACGAGATGGGCTCCTTCAGCGGACTCAAGAAAATGCTGTCCTCGTTTGTTAGTCCAGTAAGTCCTGTTGTAGTGTACAGTCTGTAGGAAAGCCCCTTAAAACATAGAACTTTTACACAATATACTGCCTGGTAGCTTTACTAACTATCTTCAAGGCTTTGAGCAGATCCTTGAGAGTAAGTTTTGATTCCCAAGAATAAGCCTTTGGGGTTTGAAAGGACTTGTCTATTCGCCAAGTGTTTTTCCAGTCCTAATTCCAGGGAAAATGTGTTAATGAAATATTTGAATGTCTAAAGATAAAATATACTGTTTGCACAGAAACAAAATATTATTAACTAAAACCACTTTAAATAATGCATCAGGTCTGGAAGCTAGGTAATGTCCTCAGTTAACATTGATCCTACAGCTTACTGGTTTCAAAGATACGTCATAAGTGTTCTTGGGTAGAATAATCTGGAATTAATTTCCAATACATTTTTATATAGCAATTAGTTTGAGGAAGTCTACAAGGCTTTGGCTACTTCTTGAAAACTGAATATTCTCAAAAACCTCTGTTTACATAACTTTACAAAACAAGATATTATATTTTGGAAAATAGGTAAAAAATAATATGTGCAGAACCTTATTATCCTAATTGTTAAATATTATATTTACAAACAACGTATGAAAGGTGATACACGTTTTATAGAAAGTGTAAAGAGAGAGATATAGTGTACAATTGAAATGTGGAAAAATATATCGCAAAATGTAAAGGGAAACAAAATACCTTTCTCCAACAATGGAGACTCTTTTCTCACTTAATGATGCCATAGCTTATTTACCAAGTCTTGTGTATTTATCCATATATGCAACTATAACTTGAACCTTATTCGATTGCCGCCCGAGATGTGTACCAACTCCAGACCGCAATTTTACGGTCACAAATATACAGGTACTACTTGTGAAGTGCACCACTCGGATGGGAAGTCGAAAATTCTCCTTAAATGTCCATAGTGCGAGAGCAAGAGTGTATGCAAGTTGTGTTTGGTGCTGTCTTTTGTAAAAGGATTACAAGGTTCTTCTGTTGAATCTCTGTCAATTATTTTTCTCCACAGAAGCGTTCTCAGACCAAAGACAACCAGACTCTATCATTCACCCCTCCACAAATATTTAAAACAGAAGAATATTTCCCAAGGCAGTCGTCACAAGAGGATACTCCAGGGGAGACAACTGAAGGTGTTAAACCAGAAAGAAATATCACATCTGCAACATCAACAGCCTCCTGATATTTGAATGTGTGTGTTTTTAGTTGATATAGAATAATTTATGCCCTGGTCTTATGAGTGCTGTGTCCGAGAGCGTGAGTGTTTGGTGCAGAGGATAGTAAATGTTATGTAACATTCCAGGGAATTGTTGCTGTTGGCAAATAATAATATATACATGTATTTAATTAATACTAAAATACTACTTTAATAACCTATGAGTTTATTGACTGTATCCTTTTCAGGTCAAAAGTGCTCAAACAATTTCCTTTAAATGAAGCTTTGAGAAATGCCCTTAGATCAGTGAACAATGTTGTGACATCATAAAGGGTGTAGTGCATCATGTCTTTTAATCCATTACCAATAAAAAATATTAAGATTATTTTTGAAGGTAGTTGAACTATATTTTGTTCATGATCAAAGGGTGTAATGCAACAGTATCATACTTTTATCCATTACTTAATAAAAATATTTAAAATACAGTTATGTTTTTGGTAGTTGAAGTATATTTTGTTTTTAATAAAAGAATAAGGGACTTTTGTGATGGTGAATTCAATGTGTTGTATAGATGTAACATTGAATGTTAATTCACACCACTCCATATTTATAAATTTTCGATGCTTTGCCGAGGGTTTTGCCAGATTTGAAAATCGCGAGGGTGGAATTTCCCTATTCTACAACCATGGGCAAGAAAGAGTATTTTTCTCTCACTACACCTACCAGGATAAGTTCAGAAACCATGAAAATGCATTTGGACTGGCTACCATTTTGAAAATATCAATTTTTCCCCTGAGCTTTTTAGACAAAAACGAATCCGTCGGCAAGATTTAGCATGTACAGTAAATATATCTCTAAAGGTTTTGATTTCATCACGTCACCTTTTCCGCATTGCTGCATCAGAGTTTTCCAAATTTGTGACGTCGCATCATTGTTGGGCTATTATGACGTCACGACACATGAAATGAGGTGTAAGATAGAAATTTCCTACGCCCCTTTCTTACCCTGGACAGCTCTATCTTATACACACGGAAATGAGAGAAATACATATATCTACTGGCCATGCTATCTTGTCGGCAAAATGAATTGTATACTGATTTTTGTAATACTTTAATATTTCAGAGGATAGAACCACAAATTGTCATACAACTGTATCGTCATTTATTTTTAGACAAATTATACTTGCCCAGTATATATACAATCATACAAATCTACATGAATTATAGCATACCCACAGTTATAGTCAGAAACATTAGATTACTCAACAACAGTATTTACTGAAATGATAATTTGAAAAAGATATAGAGGCTCTTAAATATTTGACAGGTTTGTAGACATTGGGTTGTACTAGGGCCTGTTCGTTATGCGGAACAGGTTTGACTAAAAATAACATTTTCCAGTATAAACCCTTGCGAACCTGCAGAAGTTTACACGGTCCTTGCAAGGCTTTGTCGAGGCTCGCCTGAAAACAATATCAGATTACTAGGGTCAAACTTATTAAATAAACGAACAACTCTGGTCCAAGATGTTATTTTTACTTCAGTTCTACATTTGTCATATTGTCAGTAACTTTTCCTGTAGTTGCCTCCCTTCCATCTTAACACATAAATTGTATTAAAACTTGTTAGATTTTGTATCGTTGTCAAAAAGGTGATTTAAATCAGATAAAGATGAAAAGATGGACTTGTGGTAAAGAGGATGACAGGTTTTCCACGTTTGCTGTCCAGGTTTTTAACCATATTCTGTCTGAAGAAGTGATTGAACTTATACTTTGATGCCATCAACAAAATAACAGTTATTTGAAGGGTTACATTCTAGGGTTATATGCTTCACACAGTCCTCCAAATTTAGGGAGCAAAGTGTTTAAGCATGTCTCAACCCCAAATATGTAAAGGATGGTTTTACTTGTTAAAGATCCTGCTTAAGTATTGGACTAGTTCCTTTTGGCAATCATATTGACTGTGAATGCTAACTGAAAGGTGTTCAGTACTTTATTTAACATTTTTGAAATAATTTGATCCCATGAAAAATTAAATTTATACAAATGAAGAATTAACGTCAAACAAGTGTATGTATCCTGTATGCATATTTAATGAACAGCTTCGGGGTGGTCAGTGGTATCCATCGTTACAGTTATGTCGTGATGACGCTGACATGTTAGCCATGACATTCATAGTTGATATGGATGCCATCCTTACTAAGTAGGGTTATACAGTGGCATTGTCATAGACTGGTAATTATATAATGGCATGCCTCTTGAATATTTAGTATTGAAAATATAATACTGATTTTTTTTATGTCTATAAAACTCAAAAAATAACGTTGTGGCAGAATTATGTCAAAAATTGGATAGCTATACAATGTTGTGCTATTCATACACTTGTGCAATATAAAAGTAATAAAATAATAGTACTCCATTATCACTGTCTTCATTAGCTTTTTAATTGGACAAGTTATAAACTTGGTTTTGTTTTCAACATAATAATTATTAATAAATTGTTGAATGCAAAAGGTGTACGACAACAATGACATAACCCTTCAGGATATCAACAAGGTGACCAAGTAGAACATCAAGAATTAATTGTGTAGCAGGCAAGGAGTATTAGGGGGAAATACTGCCTTACCAGTGAGCTAGCTTTTACATGTGGTATAACCCTGGGACTTGCTCATTAAGTTCTAACGGCAAGCATGATCAGTGGCTGGATAAGATCCACACCCATATTACAAATATTACAAGCGAAGCCCAAGGGAAACATGATTTATCTCGGGGGAAACAATTCTTCAGGTCTCCCTCACACCATGGCAATAAATGTATAGGGTTATAATATATAGGTGTCAATTTCAGGTCCCGGAATGGAAAGGGATATTCATTTTTGATAGTTAAATAGCATAAATTCTTGCTTATACCATAAACGATATGTTTAGCTCAGAATATTTTTTAAGGATGAAATTCTTTACTGATTGTTAATTAACAATGTATTAGCAGTCTTTGTACTTCGTTTCTAACTTATGTATCATATTAGCTATAATGGGACATTGATAATCCTGAATTCATTAATAATGTCTGTTGTAAAGAGGTTCCTGAAAATACACCACATTTATAATCAATTACTCATTTTGGTACAGAAGTTAATTTATCTTGGTGTTCAATATTTAAAACAGCACTCTGTATCCAATCATTTGAGATGTAGGAGGTACAATCAACCATATTTTATATCTTTTGAATCAAAGGTGTTGAGCTAGCTCATAAGTCAAAGATCGATTATGACATACTATATATATCATATCTATATGTATTATGTCATGATCGATCTTTGACTAATTATAATGAGCATGCTAAACACCTTTGAACCTGTAACTTTTAGGCTTTCTGACCGAACCTGTGGTGTGGTACCATATGGAATGCGTTCTTACAGTCCATGTACACAATGTCCAGCTCCTCTCATCTGCCCACTTTTAGCTATAGATGAATGAACTGGGTGGTCGGGTGGTGCAACATATAGCGCGCATACTTTTCATCAAGATGACCAGGGCTTGATTCCCTGATTAGGTACAGTATTGGCCATGTTGGCTTTTAGCTCACCGGGTCCAAAGGACCAATGTGAGCTTATTCCATACTGTGGCATTCGTCATCCGTCCGTCAACAATTTCTTTAAACGACTTCTTCTTCTTAATCACTGATTGGAATTAAATTAAATTTGACTGGAAGCATTCCTAGGTGGTGGGGATTCAAAATTGTACAATTGGTGGGGCTGACCGACCAGGGGGCTAAGGGGTGGGGCAAAAAGGGGGCAATTTAGCTATATTGCTTTAAGCGACTTCTTCTCTGGAACCAAGAGATGAATATCAATCATATTCGACTGGAAGCATCCCTAGGTGGTGGAGATTCAAAATTGTACAAATCGTTGGGCTGACCCCCCAGGGGGGTTGAGGGGCGGGGCCAAAAGGGGGTAATTTGGCTATATTGCTACAAACAACTTCTTCTGTAGAACTGATGCACTGGATATTAATCATATTTAATTAAAAGCATTCATGGGAGGCAGGGATTCAAAATTGTACAAATGGTGGGGCTGACCTCCCACGGAGCTGAGGGGTGGGGCCAAAAAGGGTTATTTGGCTATATTGCTTTAAGCGACTTCTTCTCTGAAACTAAGAGATGGATATCAACCATATTTGACTGGAAGCTTCCCTAGGTGTTGGGGATTCAAAATTGTACAAATGGTGGGGCTGACCCCCCAGGGGGCTGAGGGCGGGGTCAATTTGGCTATTTTGCTATACACAACTTCTTCTGTAGAACTATGCCATGGATATCGATCATATTTGGTCGGAAGCATTCATGGGAGGCAGGGGTTCAAAATTGTACAAATGGTAGGGCTGACCCTCTGGTCTAAGGGGTGGGGCCAAAAAAAGTTTATTACTTGGGAATTGTTGAGATCCACACCATATAACATGGCCCTAGGGTCTGGCCCCACCCTTGGAGACATAGTCCCTGGGCCATAACTTTAAAACGGTTGAGATCCCCACCCCAAAACTATATATACAATTGCTGGGCATAAAGAGACGAATGCAGTCATGATATTAGAATAGACCCTGGGGTCTGACCGAACCCCTAGGGACCTAGTTTCTTAGTCACAACTTGGAAACAGTTGAGATCCCCACCCTATAACCATATATACAATTGCTGAGTATAAAGAGATGAATGCACATATGCTTTCAGGATGGCCTTGGGGACTGCCCCACCCTTGGAGACTTAACCCCTGGGTCATAACTCCAAAACTATATATACAATTGTTGGGCATAAAGAGACGAATGCACTCATGATATTAGAATTGACCCCAGGGTCTGCCCCACCCTTGCAGACTGAACCTCTGGGTCATAATTTTGAAACGGTTGAGATCCCCACCCCAAAACTATATATACTAATGCTGGGCAAAAGAAGAAAAATGCAGTCATGATATTAGAATTGACCCTGGGGTCTGGCCACAACCCTAGGGACCTAGTTTCTGAGTCACAGCTTGGAAACAGTTGAGATCCCCACCCCATAACCATACATAAAATTGCTGGGCATGAAAAATCTAATACAGATATGCTACAAGGATTGGCCTTGGGGTCTGGCATATTCCCTTTGATCTCATTTGGAGAATATCTTGCCATGATTGCTTAGATATCCAGGTGAGCGATACAGGCCCTCTGGGCCTCTTTTTATTGACTATTGTACTATTACATAGCTTACTGCTTGACTGATAGGTGTGAACCATACAACATAAAAGCTTTTAAGCAAAACTTGTTGCGATACGAGTACATCAAAGTAATAACTTTTTTATTTTTTATTTTTTTTATTTTTCATAAGTGTTTTTTACATATATACAAAAAAATATAGTACCTCCTGACACCCTTATATAACGACTCTCACAACAATGTCCGAAGAATACTCATACTTGACCTTTGCGTAAAGTTTGACCAAAATCAATGAAAGAATGAAGTTGCTATGTGTTTAAATTGAATCAGTTGATGATTTTCTATATATAGCAAGAGTGACCTTGGCCTTGACCTTGGACCCCCTGAAACACAACAATGTCCGAAGAATACTATACTTGACCTTTGTATAAAGCTTGACCAAAATCCACGAAAGAATTAAGTTGCTAAGTGTTTACATTGAATAGGGACGTGACAGGACGCGACGGGACGGGTGTTTGCATTGAATCAGGACGGGATGCGATGGGACGGGACGGACATGGGCAACACTATATGCCCCTTCATTTTATGGCGTGGGCATAAAAATCTGTTCTAAGATTTAAACAAAGACATTAAGTTGAACAAACTTTATACATGTAGCCCTTCATCCCAGAATGCAACTTGCTAAATATTACTTCCCTATACCTTTTTTAATGAGAAGACTTTTAAAGAGTCATACACAAATTACCAGATGTGAGCTTGAAAGAGTGTCAAAGTCATTCACATGAACAATCTCGATAGCTCTTCATCTGAGCATGCTTCTGGTCACATATCACCATCCTTTGCATTTTGTTTTTTCAAAAGATTTTTTTTTTTTTTTTTTCATATTTGACCCCTGTGACCTTGAATATAATTCAAGGCCATTCTTTTGAATAAGCTTTTCAAATCATCCAAGCATGCTACTGGCAAAATGTCATCATCCTAGCCATCTTGTTTGTTGTTTAGGAGAAGTTTTTGACATATTTGACCCATGTGACCTTAAATACGGATGAAAGACATTCATTTGAAAAAACTTGGTAGCCATTTATCCAAGCATGCTACTGGTCAAATATCATCATCCTGGTACTTCTGGTTATTCAGAAGAAGTTGTTAAAAGATTAACATATTTTACCTGTGACCTTGAAAATGGGTCAAGGTCATTTAGTTGAACGAACTTGGTAGCTCTTCATCCAAGCATGCTACTGGCCAAATACCAACATCCTAGGTCTCTTCGTTAATCAGAAGTCATTTGAAGATTTTAAACATATTTGACCCTGTGACCTTGGAAATGGGCAAAGGTCATTCATTTGAACAAACTTTGAAGCCCTTCATCCAAGCTTGATACTGGCCAAATACATTCATCCTGTGCCTTCTGGTTATTCAGAAGTTATTAAAAATATTTTTAAAATATTTGACCCCTGTGACCTTGAATTATAAATCAAGGTCATTCATTTGGAAAAGAATTGGTAGCCCCTTATCAAAGCATGCTTCTGGCGAAGGACATTCATTTGAACAAACTTGGTAGCCATTTATCCAAGCATGCTACTGGTCAAATATCATCATCCTGGAACTTCTGGTTATTCAGAATAAGTTATTGAAAGATTAACATATTTAACCCCTGTGACCTTGAAAATGGGTCAAGGTCATTCATTTGGACAAACTTGGTAGCCCTTTATCCAAGCATGCTACTGGCCAAATATCAACACCCTAGCCATCTTAGTTGTTCAGCAGAAGTCGTTTAAATGTTTTCAATATATTTCACCCCTATGACATTGAATATAGGTCAAGGTCATTCATTTGAACAACTTTCAAAGCGTCACCCTAGGCCTTCTGGTTATTCAGTAGAATTCATTTAAAGATTTTAAACATATTTGACCCATGTGACCTTGAATTAAAATCCAGGTCATTCATTTGGAAAAAAAATGGTAACCCTTTATCAAAGCATGCTTCTGGCGAAATATCATTAACCTTGGCCTCTTGGTTATTCAGAAGAAGTATGTTTTAAACACATTTGACCCCTATGATCTTGAATATAAGTCAATGTCATTCGTTTGAACAAACTTGGTAGCCCTTCATTCTAGCATGTCCCTGGCCAAATATCACCACCTGGGGCCTTCTAGTTATTCAAAAGAAGTTGTTGAAAGATTTTAACATATTTGACCCCTGTGACCATGAAAATGGGCAAAGGTCATTCATTTGAACAAACTTGGTAGCCCCTCATCCCAGCATGCTACTGCACCCTGGGCCTCTTGGTTATTCAGAAGAAGTTGTTTAAGATCATAGGAGTGTATTGAGAAACGGAAATAAGAAGTTCATCCCTAGTTGAAAATCCAATGTACTGGGAGACAGTATCACAATTTCCACATATTCTAATGTTTAATATTAAACTATAAAGCTGGTGAATATTGTATGTTTATTATTGTCAGCACAGTGTGTTCTCTCAATATTAAAGTATTTCAAAGCAATTCAGGCATTAATTCAGTTGTTTTTTTATCAATGAGTCACATGTGTCCATTTTTGTGTACTTCAGGAAACCGGCTACCTATTTTCACTACTGTGAAGTTTTTCAAGAAAGATAACTCTTATATGCATTTACTATGTGTATATGGTTTTATTATAAAATGTTAATTTTTCATCGTTTATAGATAATAAATTTTACACAATTTCAGCATTTATTCAATTGATATACATTAATGCAATACTAATCTGTGTCAGTTTCATTTTTTTTTCAAAATTCTCTCCTTTTTACATAAATTTCCATTTAAAATCCTTAAAATTCTGACAACCTATATTTTTTTGTGGCAGAGAATTTCCTTTGAAGAAATTCTATTGAGAAATGGTGACACAATTCTATAACTTAAAGTAAAAAGTTGACGCCGGACGGATAAAGGACGCCGCACCATGGCATAAGCTCACTTGTCCCTTTGGGCCAGGTGAGCTAAAAAACCCTTAAACAAACTTCTCCTGAATAACCAAAAGGCACAGGGTGATGATATCAAGCCAGTAGCATGCTAGGATAAAGGGCTACCAAGTTTGTTAAAATGAATGACCTTGCCTTGTATTAAAAGGGGTCAAATATGTTTAAAATCTTTAAATGACATCTTCTGAATAACCAAAAGGCCCAGGATCATGATATCAGGCCAGTAGCATGCTAGGATGAATGACTACCAAGTTTGTTCAAATGAATGACCTTCACTCATATTAAAGGTCACAGGCATCAAATATGCCATGACTTATGTTCAAGGTCACATGGGTCAAATTTGTTTAAATTCTTTAAACGGCCTCTCCTGAATAACCATAAGGCATAGAATGTTGATATTTGGCCAGTAGCATGCTTGGATGAAGGGCTATCAAGTCATTTCAATGACCTTGACTCACTTTCAAGGTCACATTTGGTCAAATATGTATAAACCTTTAAATGACCTAATCTCAATAAACAAAAGGTCTAGGGTGGTGATATTTGGCAAGTTGCATGCTGAGATGAAGGGCTATACATTTTGGTCAATGTAATGACCTTGTTCGACTTTCAAGGTCACAGGGGTTAAAATGTTTTAAAATGTTTTAACAGGTTGTTTTGAATGACATAAATACTGATATGATGCCTGTAGCTTTATTTTAGAACACTTTTAAGGTAACAAGTGTGATATTAATACCAGGTGAGCGATGCAGACCCATTGGGCCTCTTGTTTACGGTCTTGCACATGGCACTTGACATGTCAGATCAGGGCCCGTATTCATGAAACCGTTATGGATTCTGTGCTCAACTCTAATTTCTTTTTCCGTTTATAAATTAATAATGAAAGATTATTTTGACAATGATTTGGAAAATATTTGAAGACTTAAAGTCAAATACTGTTTACAATGTTTACATTTGATATCATAGTCAGCAGTTGCTCTTTTAAGCCACTCCAGATAGTCTCAATGTGTTTGTTTAAACAAAAGTACAATTTAAAAAGACCCAAATTTAGCCTTCGTCTTAGTATATTGTACATACTCATTAAGATTGATGGATTGATAGTTAAGCAGGTTAACTTGCAGAAACCAGAGTGTGGGTGGATGCTCCAGATATTTGTGATTTTGCTGGCCCCTAAACGAGTCTTTCATATTTTGACAGATAAATCTTTCACAATCTGGTCCTGGGGCCAGAGGAAAGTTGAGTTAAACTCATTTGAATTAAAATTTCTTAATATAACCCACTGGTACATTGCCTAGTAAATCTGGAATTTTCATGATTCCCTATAAATTTCCTTGGTAAAATGCAAATGGACTGTTATTCCATAATACTGGTGATGTCTGGTCATAACATCTTCTAAAATATCATTAGTCAATTTTAAAAGGCACTTGGTTTAACCTTTTGTTTTGAAAAATTATCTAAGCACATTTTCCAACTTTGTCTCTACCCTAGACAGGCAGGTTACAATATCAGATCTATCTATCCTGTTAAGAGCGCAATGATTGATCCTATTGTCAATCTTTATTCCACACATATTGAAAGAAGAACACAAGAATGATTGAAGTTAAAAGAGAAATAAATCATTTTATTTTTCTTAAAGGCAGTTGTTACTTTAATTTTTGTAAAAAATACAAATGATTGAAAGACATAGTAGTAAATACAAAAAAAAACACCTTCATAATTGTGCGATCGTGACGAGTCGTATTACTCTCAAATGAGGGGAAAGTCTGGTACCTAAATGGGTTCTAAGGGACTTCCTCTCCAGCATACCAATCACTGGTAAAATACCTGTAATACGTTATTTTTATTTTTTTTATCAAAAGTTTAACCCTTTAGAAACATAGTTAGATCATTTTTATTCTGCAGCAACAGAGAAGTGGCACTATACCACAAATATTCAAGGAAATAAAAAGACAAACTGAAGGCTACATACCCATATATTTGAATAAAACATAGAGCTTGAAGTGTATTTATCACAGTAAGGTATGGTACATTCCTAACTGTTAATATCAGACTAACATATATATTCCTATTTGTATAGATGATGTTATATCAAAGTTTTACCCTCTACACAAACAATGTACGTATTAAATGTGTCACAACGTTTCAAGACCGACTGGTCCCTTTGTCAAGCTATGTCAATAGGGGGTGTATGCACCCTGCACCAGATCGGTCATAGCTTGACAAAGGGACCAGTCGGTCTTGCAACGTTGCGACACGTTTAATACGTACATTGTTTGTGTAGAAAGTAAAACTTTGATATCACATATTTCCAAACTGATGAATCTTATTAAAGATATAGATGACATTGTCATACTTATTAAGGCCCCATTGTTAAACCCTGTATTCTCAAGCCTCTCAACACATAATCGTATGGATTTATAAACTATTTCCTGAGAAATTATTGCTGGGAAGTATTGAGCAGAAGTATTTAGAAGTGAAACCTTCTTTATTGATGTACACACTAAAATGTAAATGCTGTACAACTAGATTTAACTTTAATATTCTCTTAAAGGCGTTATTTAGTCAAATGACAAGCAGAATATTGAGCCGATTCTGAAAGTATATATCTTCTAACGTAAGTTTACGTAGTTGATAATGACATGACCTGAAGCCAACGTCCAGTGTGGTCAGTTTCATTTTTTGAGAAAGCCGGTGATAAAAATAGGAACGACAGAAATAGCACAATATCCGGGCATTTCAGTGAGATGGACAACACAGTGTCAGTTATAAGTATTGAGTTCACACATAACACATTCTTGAATTTACACAATACATCGCAAGTAAGAATTATAAGTATCATAATATATACCTTTTATCAGATATTTCTGTTCACATTTGGATTTAAATAAAAGCTAACAGGTTCAATTAGACGCACTGAGAGGGTGTAGCAGGGAAAATGTCAAACTCATTTATAACGATGTTTGAGATGATGTTGGAAGATGATTTTGCTTCAGAATAAATGTATGTACTTGTATTCCAAAGAGGCTAGGCGAAAAAAGCGAGAAGTTACCTTCTCTCCTCGGCTGGAAAGACATTTTTGTTAGCTAGAAATTTACCGACAACTGCTGCTAAAACGTACAGCTGTACAGTCAAGGATTTCTCAATTACTGATTAAAAATGCCAAGAAAACATTTTCTCTTGTAAATTTCTTGACATGAATTGTTCATAAGGAGTATCAAACTATATAATCATGAAGAATTTTGTGTTAAGGATATAAAAAAAAACTACTTCACTAAATTGTCCCTTTAATGTCACTGATTATTCTGTGTTGTTCATAATCCTCGTTATTTTCAAAAAAACATAACTTTCTTGGTCCCAAATTTTTTCTGTTAAACTGGTTTTATTTTAAATGAAAATAGACTGAGTCTGATATTACGTGTACGATACACAAATTGTTTCTGTAATGGTCCTTGTGTTTCCTCTAAACTAATGGCCATGAGTATAACAATTAAAAATATAATGACTTCAAAAACCTAACACGAATAGTCAGAATCATAATGCTTAAATAGTCACATTTCTGTTTCCTATCTTTTTTAGTCAACTTGTTTTCTAAGTTCTTATCACTCAATGGTAAAAGGTTGTCTTTTTAATAACAAATCTACTGAACAAGTTCAATTCAGTAGACAAGATAAACAACACAAAGTGGAAAAGTGATCACAATGTTAACTCCTTATCCCAAGGTTAGAGATAACTATACACAGGTCTGACTCTGCCACACACATGTAAGGTTAAGTTGGATATGATCACATACATGTACTTCTAAACCATATCTTTGTAACTTGCATCATGATTTTAGGTTGAAACTTTTACTAGTGCCAATTTTTCCACAGAGTTAAACCTGCATCGCAAGGTCAAACCTTTACTAGAAGGTACTGTAACTACCGGGATCAAAAGGTCAAGCATGTGCACGTGTCAATAGGTCAAACTAAGGTCATTAGGTCAAACCTACATAACAAGGTCAAACATGTGTCATTAAGTCCAAACATGAATACAAGGTCACAGTAAAAGCTATGTCATAAGGTCAAACACATGACCGGTCAAACCTGGGTCACAAGGTTAAACCTGTGTCAGGAGATCAAATCTTGCTTCAAAAACATTATAAAATATGTACCAAGATTTGAACAATGTGACTAAAATATTACCATTGTATATATAGACATATCACAATTCAGTAACAGACTGACATACAATAAATGCCTTGAAAGCATGGGGATTTCATTTCAATAATCATATTTTGTCACAAAGCTAAATATTTATAATTTACCAACTTTGATTATGTAGCATGTACAAAATAATTTTAAGTTATAAAAACATAACTCAAATTATCAATTAAAATGATAGTGATTGCACTTCATCTTATGCTAACAACAAAACGTCTACATCTAAACATGTAATAAAACTGAAGACTTGTGTCGATTTCTATACAATTCCAAGGCAACTGATTTGTCATGAATCCTCTAAACACAGATTATTCCTAAACATATTTATTTTCCCGTTTACCAAAAAATATCCAGAGACTTGATTAATAGATTAAGTGAACGGTTAAGTTAATGTGTAGATGAGTCTGTGATTAAATAGGTTTAAAATCCATTTATTGTCCTACAATATTTCTGTTATTTCTTAGATTATTTATCAATTTATATAAACATGCTTACAGAGAACTGAGAATTCTATTCAGTATTAATTGTACACCACTTTGCTGGATATTCAACAGTAAGATGGTTTAGGGGAGTTTTACATCACTTAGTCGTTAGCTCATCATCAAAATCCAAATGCTCCGCTTCCAATACACATAACCTCTCTCGACCCCTAGAACATGTCACGATAAAATCAAAGGCTCTTTTTAAACAACATCTTGCAGATGATACAAATAGACTAACATGGTGTCTTTTTTTAAGAAAAACAAAGGGATGGACAGGCTTTGTGTAGATGGACAGGCTTTGTGTAGATGCTACATAATCTTCAAAGAATTGTTTCAGTCTACCGATTGGTCAAATTTTTATACTCGAAACTGATCAAAAAGCTTATCACAAGCCTTTGATGTTGTCATGACATAAACCTAGGGTGCAGGAAAGCTATGTGCATCAGGAACAAAACACTTGGGTTTTGAGAGTACACAGAAGTGACATAAACTAGCCATTATATGTTGGGGCACTAAATGAAAAAAAAACCCCAGAAAAAACAAAGAATGTTAAAATCCAAATGATTTGATCCAAATTCAATTTACTACATCATCATCAGAAGCAAGTTGTTAAGTCCATTTCAACCTTAAACTGTTAACAATTATCCTTAGTAACATATTCTAAACTTCATGACATCTCTGATGTTATATCTGTTATATGTATAACACTACATAACGTAAGCCATCTGGCAACACATTGGTTAAGGGAAGTGATGTGTTAGACTTAATTTGAAAGGAGAATGATAACGTCTATTACATAGAGTTAAGATAAATATGTATGCCACCCACATTTTTATTTATTATAAAATTCCCATTACAACAAACATAAACAAAGTTGTGTTTCAAGTCAAATAAACAGAAATACAACTAATTCATTTTTCAAATAAGGGAAACTGAAATGCATTTTAGCTCAAAAGTAGCGTGCAACATTTCTTGGTGTACTACAGTACTACATGTACCCTATGGCTATGAAATGGCTTATAACAGCCATAAAAATGTCCTACCCTGGTGAGATAGTATATGAAGTAAGGTTATAGTGAAGAGTTCCCATACAGGATAGCAAAGTTGTACAGCTCCAATGCCTTTGTATAACAAATTAAAACAGCAGATAAATGCTCACTGCCATACCAGTACACACATCGGTACAGTTATAAAGGTGTAAACGTCAACATACATTGATTGGTTCTATTATAAATATACACTCAGTTCACAACCTATCACAACCTCCACACATCATTCTCTGTAATTATACCTCGCACACATTACTAAAAAAATCCTCAACTGAACATGGCGTTAAATTTTTGGAAAAAAAGGTACGTCACATGAAAATAATAGTGAAACGGTGCGAAAAAGGCACACGACAGGAAACAAATAGTGACAACCGCAGTGGGAAAAATGTATGTGACTTGAATCTAAGAAGTTAAAACTGCAGTGAGAAAATAGGTAACTGCAACCAAATTTACCTCATTAGAAAATAAGATAATGTAAAATATAATAAAATGAAATGTCCAATTTGATAAGGAATTAAAAATCAATATTATGCGGTGTTATTTGTCTATCTTCAATTAACCACCATACATGCAGTTATAAAACTATTAACATGTGTAGCAACAGGCACAATTTCTTTCACTTAATGTGTACTATAAATAGTGGTATCACAATTTGTCATCTCTCTACACACACCAAGGAAACATTATTGCATAAATTATCTGTCACATCTCTCTCTCTATTAAGAAACTTCTTAGCTTTCATTCACTCAATATTCCTTTTTTTCTAACATATATAATTGTATCACAAATTCAACAGCAGGGATTACCCTTCTTTCTGTTTTTCATGAGGTAATTGGTGATTCCCAGGGCACCCCCAATACCAAACCTAACAAAGTTATCCCCTACCAATGGTCCCATAGAGAACAGGCCTTTATGCTTGATTGACTCATAGGAGAACATGTCAACATCTAAGGTATTATTTTTGCTGTTTATTGGGTGTTGAGGATCTATCCCCAAGCTTCTTCCTTCCTCAGGGAGGAAGGATAAATTTGGGCATGAGCCAATCAGAATAACAGCAAATGTAACATCAACAGTAGTAATGTCATTTCCTTTCGTATTTTCCAACAAAACTCGTTTGTCTTCACTGATCTGCACCAAGCGATGCTTTTCATATGGACGATATAAAGGGTCAACAACTTTTCCCTTCATCAGTGAGTGAATTCTGTGGTACTCGGGATACAGACCCTGAGGCAGTTTCTTAAAAATCAAGTTTGAGTCATTTGCTCCTCTTCTGAAAACATGAATCACAGGCAGGTTTGCACCTAGAGCCATGAGAATGGCATCGGCAGCACTTAGTCCAGCTCCAACAATTAACACAGGGTCGTCAGATGATGAAGGAATCTCCTGCCAACATTTCAGTGCAGATTCAAAGTCATGCAGTGAATGGATAACATGTGGTAGGAGTTCCCCTGTTATATTAAGTCTGTTTGGAATGTCGAATGTCCCGGTGGCTACCACTACATGTGGTGCTTGGATGCAAAACTCCTTGCGGTGCACATCGTCCTCGTCCTCAGCTGATTGATCGACCACACTAACATAACCTCTGACCTCCCATAGGAAGGAGTGATTTTTGGCAATATTCTTACAGCACGGTTCTACCTCACCGCTCTCCAGGTCCATGTCATTGCGTAAGTGGTATACTTTCTGGATCGATGTGACAGTGTGATTGTCGTAAAAGTGATTTTGAAGGTCAAGGCTGGCCACATAGTCCATGTAGTAATTTCTGACGTCAGACATGGTGGCTCTGTTACTGCATGGGTCAAGAGACTCCCCCTCCCTGTCAAAAGGAAACTATTCTGTCATATACAATACTCTAAATACATAACAAAAAAACAGATCTTTCAACTTATCTATGACTTCGAATAAATAAGATTTTATATTTCTTCCTACAGTTGTTAATTAAACACCTTTTCTACAACAGTGCCTTTTTTTGTTAACAATTTATACAATATAAAACAGATTGGTTAGCAAACTCAAGCAATTAAAGTGCCACTTGCACTCAAGTAATTTTTCTATTACCACCATTTCTCTATTTTTACCCTGAGGAATCAGCGAGCACCATTAGATGGACATTTAGCAATGACTGTGTATAGAAAACGGGAGACTTGGACAGCCATTGTACAAGAGGGAATATAAATAAGTGTGTAGAAGAAACGTGTGAAAATATAGAAAGACCTGTTTACCTGAATTTGCGATCGCGCCAGTCCTTCAGTGGAACAGATGGCAACTCCATCCAGTTTCCTAGACTTAATGTCTGCATACTTCCGTCCATTTTCTGTAAAATATATGACAACACATGTTAGGCATTTTAAAAAGTGTATAAAACTGTGCCTGGAATAATTTAACATCAACCTGCTAATCCCATATACACTACAATACATTTTGTATATTTTTAAAACACAGCGAAAACAAATACATGTACTTTTATTTTTTTTATCATTAGGGCTTCAACAACATATAAACCTGACGATGCGATACGTATTGTGATACTGTGGTCACGATATGATACGTATCACATTACATATAGTAACAGTAGAAGCAAAGAGAAAAGATATGTTGCAATTTTTTCATGGCAATATTACAACTGGAAATAGACTTGGTCCAAAATGGGCATGACTTTAAAGTTTCACACAATTCACGTCTCTCTATGTGCATGCCAAGCTGGAGCTGTCACTCGCCCCATGTGAACGGATGAGTAGACTAAATTTAGAAACGACAAAATCTAAATAATACCATAGGTGTTTCGTGACCTCCCTAAAAATATTGTGTATCATACCACATTCAAAATATTGCGATATATTGTTGCAGCTCAATTGATCATTATGACCCACTTCATGGACATACACTGATAAAGCCCCAATACATGTTTCATCTTTTCTGACCTAAGGAACCACATTCAATTTTGTCACACTCCAAGGACAAACCTTCCTAGCCAAACTTTCCCACCTCACGGAAATACCTGTCTTTTCATCTACACAAGAAATATTACCTGCCAAGCCCCGCCCACTTTGCCACGCCCCAGGACGATGTGTCTGAAGGCATGTTCCTCCTCCTTCTTCCAGTCCAGTAGGGAGGGTAGCTCTGCCCCCATGTCAGCATCAGGGTGGACGAGGGCATCAAACAACAGAGCCACAGGGTTAGAAGTCCTCCCCTCTAGACCTTCTGACAGGAAGTCAATGTCCTGAAAGGGAGATAATTCAAATACTCTTTTCAAAATTTGGTGTTTGTTTTTTATCCGAATTCTTTTTTTTTCAATTAATAATTTTGTTAACAAATTACAATACGGTAGGTATCACTGCAATGTTCATCTTCATCAAAACATTCAAGCATCTTATTACTTGTTTTCCATGATCTGTCAAATTTTGCAGAGATCTAGATAATTAAATTTGAAAGATATGTACCTGGTCAACTATTGACTGTGTTGGGCCAATCTCCTGTAACTTGGTGTGAAGGTATGTGTTGGAGTGGGGGTTCCCATTGTAGTATGGCCTATGTCCCGACAGGAAGTAGGACAGACTGATTGCAGATGGACCATTTCCTGAAATCAAATAAAAAATAGCAATTTATGCACGTCTTCACAAACAAGAGGCCCATGGGCCTTAACGGTCACCTGAGTCTATAGTATTTATTTTTGTTGTTGAAATATGTACCAATTTGAGTAAAAAATAGTATAATGTTAACTTAACTTTGTCAGGACCATGAGCTGATCATTCCTAGACCAATTTTAAGTGAGATCGGCCTATTAGAACTTAGTAGCAAAATAGCGGCCATGGCAGCCAAATTGTATTTCTGATTGACCCGAAAAATAACAACACTTTGTCAGGACCATGATTCGATCATTCCTACAAAGTTTCAGTTCAATCGGCCAAGTAGATCTTTACTTTAAGTTTGAAATAGTTTACCAAAATGGCAGCTGTGGTGGCCATATTGGATTTCTGATCGACCTGAAAAATAACAACACTTTGTCAGGACCATGAGTCAATCATTCCTACAAAGTTTCAGTTCAATCGGCCTAGCAGAACTTGACTTTAAGTTTGAAATATGTTTTCAAAATGGTGGCCGTGGCGGCCATATTGGATTTATGATTGACCTGAAAAATAACAACACTTTGTCAGGACCATGAGTCGATCATTCCTACAAACTTTAAGTTCAATCGGTCCAGCAGAACTTGACTTTAAGTTTGAAATAGGTTTTCAAAATGGCGGCCGTGGTGGCCATATTGGATTTCTGATCGACCCAAAAAATAACAACACTTTGTCAGGACCATGAGGCGATCATTCCTACCAACTTTCAGTTCAATCGGTCCAGCAGAACTTGACTTTAAGTTTGAAATAGGTTTTCAAAATGGTGGCCGTGGCGGCCATATTGGATTTCTGATCGACCCGAAAAATAACAACACTTTGTCAGGACCATGAGGCGATCATTCCTACCAACTTTCAGTTCAATCGGTCCAGCAGAACTTGACTTTAAGTTTGAAATAGGTTTTCAAAATGGCGGCCGTGGCGGCCATATTGGATTTCTGATCGACCCGAAAAATAACAACACTTTGTCAGGACCATGAGGCGATCATTCCTACCAACTTTCAGTTCAATCGGCCCAGCAGAACTTGACTTTAAGTTTGAAATGTAAAATGTTAACGGACGACGGACGACGGACGACGGACGACGGACGACGACGGACGAAAACGGATAGCAATAGGTCACTTGAGCTAAAGCTCAGGTGACCTAAAAAGTAATTATTCCAACAGCAGGTCATGACATGAAGTAATTCAAGAAGAATGTTCACCCTAAAAACTTCACAATTCAACAAGAGAACTTTGATGAGCTACTGATACAGAAATAGCACATGTCCTTTAGTCATGCATATAGGTGAACTTGAAAGTGTGTGTGTTTGTGTGTGTGTGTGTGTGTGTGTGTGTGTAAGTACCATGTTGTAGTTTTCCTGGTCAGTTGACTTCAGGATACTAGGATGGATGGATGTGTTTGATCGTTATAAAAATTCACACAGAGAAGTTTAAACATTTGATATGTTCTTATTTTTATGCATCTCGATAACTTGACAGTAAGCATAAGTTTATACTTAAAATATTTACATATGTTCAGAATAACAACCACACTGATAAAACTTCTTGTGCGTGTACCAGCAATTTCAAACTATCTGATATTGATTGATTATGTGTCAAAACATTAGCTTTACATTTCACAGCTATATTTTATTGTGCTTATTCTGCTATCACACTTACAATCAGCTGGTTGATGTAATATAAAAAAAAACATCTAAAGGCCTGACCCTTTGTGTATATGGTAGGTATAACATCAATGTATAGATATTATGAATTTTAATATCTAGGTAATTAATTGAAAATTTATTATGGAGATGAAGGTGAATGATATTCTCAGTAATTTAGAAAAACTGGGTGGTCTGGTGGTACACTTAATAGCGCACTCGCCGACGGCCAGGGCTCAATCCCCGACTCAGACATGTAAGTCACTGGGTCGATCACCTGCCTGACCACGCAAGTTTTCTCAGCATACTCCAGTTTTCTCCAACAGTTACAACCCCTGTTCAATCCCCCCCCAGGCCAACAAGAGGTAAGAAATATTGAGAAAAGTTGTTTTATAATTGTAATAAACTGAAGATTATGTTTTTTATTTAGGTGAATGTAAAACTAAAACCACATGTTATCCATATATTATTATGTTGAACATTAAACACTTGAATACTTTTAAATAAATTCAAAGACTATGTATTGTTTCTTTGTAGGGTCAACGAACGTCACCCAACTTAAGAAAACCAATATCTACGCTCCACAAACAGACCTCATTATATGCCACCACTTCAAAGATTTTTTATAGGCAAAGAATCCTGAATATGCATCCGTATTTTTATGGAGTTAATCCGATTATTTGTTATGATTAAAGTAAAATACCAAACAGGATTTAATTTCATGCCTGAGAAAATGTTGTATTATTCATGTCTGTATATCTGATGAGATGCAATTATTATTGTGGATTTGACTTAATTCTGCAGCACACCAAAACACAGATCAATACCCTTGTCTTGATGGTATGGACCCACACACAGCTGGTGCGTAATCCTGTCACACGTACGCTGCTACATTAATACCTAGCTCCCAAAACTCTCAAATATTTTTATACAGTCAAACAATAAACTATCAATTGTTACAAAATACTTTTGTATTCAATATTATCATATAAACATGCTTCATTCATAAATTGGATTTTTTTTGCTATCAGAGTTGAAATGGAGACACATGTACTCCTCACTTTACCCTCATCATCATTCTGAAGACCTTAAATCCACACATTTTAACTTGGGCAACAATAGAATTTTATATTGATCTTAACAGTTCCTTCGAAGATAAATATTAACATTAACAGCAATTATCCACACACATATGGAGCAAGCTGTAAAAAGTTTCCATGAACATGAAAATGGCTGACATTATGGTTAATTCACTTTCACACTAGCTAATGATTGTAGGATTAGATTGGAGGTCAACTATAAAGAGTGTAGTTCTATTACTGCTATCACTCTATACCAGTTAAAGGCCATTCAAAAGCACACATAGGATCCTAACACATTTTACACCATGTATGCATAGTATCATTTTGTCGTATTTCACCACAGTCCTCTATCACAATTCAAACAAAACACATGCTCCAGATTCTCTGTTCTCCGACAAAACAAATGTACTGTTTATAAAATCATTAGTGTTTGCAAGCGCTACCGCACCATAACATCAAGTACTGTATTACCTACAGTTCCGTAATGTGTACACAGTTGTACTTCGAAGCAGTAAAAAAAGTCAGAGTTTTCACACTATCACATGAACTGTAACATTTATACATTTTGTAAATTGATGCTTCTTGGGATAAAAAACAGGACAGATGTGGTTCATTTCTTTATGCCATCAATATAATGGCTATTGATATGTAAAACCCAATATTCTTAAATGGCTAGTGCCAACACCTTGTGAATACACTACCATTGATTTGTTTTTAGCCTAATGACCTATATATATATATATATCATCATAGCAACAAGCCTTTTCTAGTCAGATACTCACAGGCAGGTATCATCTCACAGATAATGAGCCCAGCGATATAAAGATCAGTCAGCATAGCATACAGATTACAGGATATCAATAGCTCATTCCAAAATACATGTTTTAAAAATAATCAGAAATCAAAATAAAGACAAAAATACAAGTAAATTTTAAAATATGTTTTATATGACTAGGACCTGGCAATTTATATATAGAAATACTGATAGCAGACTGACTTTAAAAGAACTCGGTTCTAACAGAAAACCTGGGTAGTGAGGCAATTTTTTCATACCTAAGCAATTGAGCTCCGACTCATCGAGATGAAAGTAGAAATGTATATTAGCGTTATTGCATAGGTACTTGGTAGTCTAGGGTATAATTCAAGTACACACCAGCTGATATTCATCAACTTACACTTACAGCAGCATGCGTGATCTGCTGATGGGGAAACACATGAAAAACTCTACAGAGAAAATTCATCCCTAAATGACACTGAGTTTCAAATATCATGTAATTTTTGTATTCAAAACTTTTAAAAATTTACTTTAATTATCTAATGATACATGTACCGTACCGATGTATTATTGGCACACCTACAGAGCTAGATACATTGTATATTACTGGTACAAAACTTCAACAGCTTCGTATACTTCTGAGAAACATCTAAACTTACTACACCCATCACTTTTCTTAAAATAACTTCATTTGCGGCTTGGCCTTGGAGCCTCTTAAAGCTCTGAAGCACTTCCAGACTAGAATGTATCCAACAACATTTCTAAAGGTGTAAACCAATTTCCTTAAATATCATTTACATGTACTAGCCAATGATAACAGACCCTAATTATTACCAAACTTAGCCAAATCAACCCAACTTAGAACTAAGATATTTATCAAGGATATTGAGACAATTAGTTGACATTAATGATTTATCATCATGTGAGGGGTACCCCTCAGATTTTTTTTTAGATCTAGAAGCTCTGTCGTTCCATCTGGTGGCTTTTGAGATACATATTTGAGTGATTTAATTTATTTTACAAACATGTCTGAGCCAATATAAACAGATTAATTTATTCAGATTTTTGCTGTTGTGTTCCCCAAACCCTTTTTATATCATCAACATGTCTCGGAACATAAGATGACGGTAGCTCCTATATCGATGTTTAGATATATACATATATACCCAGTAGTCCTACTGAAGATAGGCCTAGGACTACTCTTAAAAATATACTTCATCAGTTGATGACAGGGACAAATGAATGTTTCTATGATGTGAAATTCTCAATAGGCCTGGGTACCTACAGCTGCTTGGAAGTCATGTATCAACTTGTTCTTCGAAGATGATGCAGGTTTTCATTGGCTTTGCAGCTATGTTTACGATGTTGACAACTTTAAAAATATTAATAATAAAATCGGCACCAGGTACCCTAGGTTCGGGATACGTACTGATTGTCGGCTGTCGGTTATACAATTAAATTTAATATATTTTTCAATTGAATCACACATCATTTAATCACTATTCCGGACTATAATGAAAGAAATAATAATATAATAGTATATTGAATTTTTGATCTGCATGCAACTGCTTATTTGCTTACGTGGCAGCTACGCGCCTGCAAAGAGCAAAAATGACAGAATTTTGGACTTCAGTAATGACCTAGGAGAACAAGTAAAATATTCTCAAAACTTCTTCATTTAACATCAATTATGTGATAAAATTGATATAAAATTTGTTTCTACTTGATACAAAATTTATGAAACTCATCACAGTTTTTCATTTTAGCTCACCTAATGCTTGCTATAAAAAAATGAGAAATGCTTAAAGTCTTGTTTCACAAATCTCATTTGAAATGGAAACTTATAAGCAATAACCTACATCTATAACATATTGAGATTGTATAACAAACAGGTTAGCATACAAATGTAATGTAATTTACCACAGAATTAGACAGTCGAAGTCTGTGATCATACAATGTATAGAAATTGATATTCTGAGTTAGGATACATAGAACTAGGATACAGAGTTTGTGATACCATCACCTCGTTAGGCTGACAAAGTTTAATTCTAGTGTATCATGCAGCCCTGGATCCAATCTGACTCAGAGATCTACACCAGGTATGACCAGTTAATTCCTGTACTTGGCATGTCTCTGGTATATTTATAGTACAGTATAAAGTATATATGACATGTTTATTGACCTATGCATGAACATATTTCTGAACTATTGACTGACCAGATGATCTAGATTTTCACCCGCTGAGGATAACAAGTTTATATAACTGGTTTGCTGTACAGGACTGTGGTGTAGAGTAGTGACACACATTCTGACCTATACACATGGCTAATTGATCAGGAGCATTAGTTACACCACAGGTACTAGCCTCACCTGTCAATACACCTAATATAATCACTTGATTAAGGGTCATATCACTTGATTATATTATAGGTGTATTGACAGACAAGGCTAGTACCTGTGGTTACACAAGCTGATTTTAAGGGTTGTTGTCAACATTACTGGCAGGTAAATATTTGCCTTCCAAAAACAGAACATCAGATTTTTTTAAAATCTAAATTTTGTTTTTCCCAGCACAAGCCACTAACTGAAGCATATATTTGCATATGTCAATTTTAAAAATGATTCATATGTATATTCATTATAACTAAGTAGTCGCTATAAATACCACTGCATATTGATTGGTTTTTCATGAGCAGGTTTGTTAATATTGCTTCAGATCTTGTGTTAACTATTTGGAATGTCCACCAACCCTAGTTCTGGTGACTCTCCACACCTATGACTACACTATTGATTATAGCAAACAGGACATGATGTGAACACCAGGATATACCGTGACCATGACGTCGACCAAGTATAAACTGTACCCAGTCAACCCCGACCAATGACCACAAACATCATAGCTTATATCTATTGTTTAGCACTGATGTTACAAACACACATTGTAGCTAAATTTATGACTATCATCCTGACTATCACCGTGGGTCATCTGCATATTTGGAGATTATCCCTCACCAAATTGTGAAAATTAAATATATTGTGTATTTAGTCTGGTAGAGTTGATAACATTGAAATGGTTGAACATGATGTGTATGACAAATTCTGTCAGTGGTACCGTACTTGTAGCCTAGACAAAAGACAACAAGGAATTTAGTAAATACACATTAGTGGAATGCCTTTTGACTTTGAGATATACATGTGTGTTTCCTTACTTTAAATTTTGAATCATCTAGAATGAATGGTTTTGCATAAGTTTAAGTACTTGACCTAAATTCTATGTACACATATCACGGAAGTGCGTTTATTTAGTGTCACACACTCACTGAGGCCATCATGACAAAAATAGTAATGACAGCCTTGAGATTCCGTCTTGTCCTACTCCACACGTTCTTTACAGACATGTTCAGTGTATGACAGACAGAGAAGTCTATATATACAACAAGCAGTGAATGCACTTGGTGAGTCTTCCAGTGAATCGTCCGGTGAATCTTCCGTGAACACACTGCAAGTCTACTCGTGAGTGCATCAAACTTGTTTATGGGTGAATTGGGAATGAGCCCTGATGACAATTTAATTATTTGGTGATTGTGTGTGTCAATAAAAAACCTACAAGCAGTATTGTTTTATCACTTGTTTGCTCTTTATTGTTATTTAAAAACATATATCAGTTTTTTGGTCTTCTTAGGATCACTACTTAACAAATATCATCTAAAAGACTGAAATGTTGACTAGCAAACAGGACATGATGTGAACACCAGGATATACCGTGACCATGATGTCGACCCAGTATAAACTGTACCCAGTCAACCCTGACTAAATATCCTTTAAAATTTATCAAAGATATTTTCATTTTAAACTATTTTTAAAGTGATTTCCATCACATTGGAAATGGGGTCAATTTTTGGCCCAAAGATGACCTAATAAAAAGTTGTTCATACAGAGAGAGTATACTAGTGAATATAACAGGAGTCTATAGTGATTCAATATGTTTTGCTACAATATTTGTGATATTGTTTGGCTTAAAAACTATTGGTAAGCCAAAAAAAAAAATTAGTCATGCAGCAAGGATGTAAAAGAACAGAAATAAACATCTGAAACATGTACATAGGTATGATAGAGAAGATAATGTATGTACTTTGTAGTGTGGTACATGTACTGGGAATAGTAGAACCTACAATCTAATCTTGTTTCAGCTTCTGAAATGACTGACTAAAAATGGCATCCACTGAAACATATTTTTGAAACTTTTGGTAAAATGTTGTTTTTTGCTTGCTAATCAAAAATCACTGAAACTTCAGGTTTTATATAGAAAAATAAGATATCTGAAAATAAAACAAAAAGACCTAGCTAACAACTACCAGCTGAAATTAATGTGAGTTGGTACACTGCAAACAATTTTTTTTTAAGGAAGGCCCTACATTGGAGTATATATTTTCCACAGGTTTTGTTTGTGTATCTGGTACGTACCTATGATAATAACGTCAGTGTATTCTGTACTGCAGCAGGTATGACATGATGGAGATGACATCATAGTAAGGCACTTGGATGTTCAAGGGTCAGAATGGACTTCAGATTCCCAGATTACCTCCTCCTATTGGACAGCTTGACAGACAGAACTGGTCATCCGTTTCTGACCTTGACCATCAACCTCGCCCCCTGTGATGGCTATATGTATAGCCAAAATGATGGTTAGGAGTAGCTCAGCACCATGGTGTCCTCCTGTCAATATAGAAAAAGACAATGTGTTACCATGGTTACAGGATGTACGCTAGCTGGAATATCAATGACAATGTAATAGAAGTTCACCAATTACCAAGTGTTTTACCAACACCTGTTGTTTAATGGGATGGCCTGCGATTTGTTAAATAGGGACAACTGGGGTTGAGAAATGTATCATTTTACTGTTGTTCTACTGTTCTGTTCTTATTAAATGCAAATTTGAGCAGCTTGCAGTAACATAACAGCTTTTACGCTACACATCATGTGTATACATCAACACGGTAAAGCTGATATGGAATTGTGGTTCAATCACAAAACATACAGTTGTATACAGCTGTTCAGGTATTTATGCTTACTCAGACAGGTTTACATGCAGGTCAAGGTTATCTACATACTGTGCTAGCAGCCACTGTACTCATGTATACTAGGAAACTTTTGTCCGATAACTTTCTCATTTCGCCGATAAAATAAATATTTTCCACAGGGTTTATTTAACACGTCCTATTTAATTACTATGTATATGCATGTTGCTTAGTGAAATTTTGCTGTGATTATCAATTTAATAAAAAGTATAGAGGTCAAGTCAACCATCTAACCTCATGATCACCTGGAAATAATACAAGTTCAGTCAGTATTGTCTACATTGTACATACAAAATAAGCAGCCTCTGTCATAGCTACATGTGCAACTTCAAATTCCACTTGGCTGAAAACCATTTACCATTTGATTGCTCTCTATTACAACAGAATATCAATTTGCAAATTAAATGACCAAATATATGCATTACGGTATATGGAAAGTATTTATTACCTGGTGCATGATTCTATGCTTCAAAGCATTTCAAAATCTGCAATTACGTGAGTTATCTTACCTGATCAATGCATAATGCACCAAATAACTGATGCATTTATATCTAATATTTTAACATCTATTTTGAAATTTTGATTTGTCACTTATGAATTATTTAATTTGATCCGGCTTAGGTAATTTTTTTTAAGTTAATTTTTTAACACATGATGAGATACTCCCAGATTAATGCATGGTGCATCAATTAAATATTTAATATTTTAAAATGTATTTTAAAATTTGATATATTACTATGAATCAATTTGATCCAATTCTAACTCATATAATCAAAATAGATGTACAACTTACCACACTACCAAAATGACAACTCGGCTCAGTGCTCAACACTCAAAAGAAAGACAAGGAGAAGAATTCCTTTGAACGCGCCTACATACCTATGCATGCTGGGATCTTTTATAAATAGATTTGGACCTTATCTTACCAGGAACTGACCACATGATTTCAGAATGGGCTTGACCATGACCTGGTGTTTCAAAAATGACTTGACCATGAACTTGTGTGTATTTATAATAAATACATGTAACATCGAACAAAAATTATAAGTACCTATAATTTTCTATTATGTTCAAAATAATAAAACACATGTTAATTTTTCCTACACTGACTGTTAATGATTTTTTATCCAATACATGTAAACGTATTACTGTAACTTTAATTGTTTTTTCTATTATAGTAACCAATTAAAAACAGTCCACCTTAATTAATACTGCCACACGCAGTGTTAAGATTATTGGTATGAGTGAAGCTGACCAGGCTTTTAAGAGGTCACGTCACACCTTATCCCATGGCACACTCCCAGTGTAGTGTTGACCCAACAGTAAAATTATATTGACCAAGAATTAATCGGCTCACAGTGTTACCTACCTCCCACACTCCTGACATTATATTCAAATACAAAAGAAAGGAATTATCTGAGGCAAGTAGACCTTTGCCAACCAGACAAAAGGCCACTAAAACCTTATATAAAGGCTATTTAAACAGTAACGGGAGTAGATCAAAATCTATCCCAGGTACACATAACTATGTAACACAGAATGTCATTCAATATTCGTTAGCTAATTGTATAAAGCTAGCTTACGCTTGAGAAAACTGACATGTCTTAAAAGTAGAGTGTCACTAAATAGTCATTCGCAGATAAATATAAGTCAACCTTTAACCCTTTCACCCCTATGTAACTTGAGTGAACTCTACCATGCATTAATTTGGAAGAGTCCATTATGGACTACAGTGGTGAAAGGGTTAACTGGTTTCCTAATAATGAAGGGTAGCTCAAAACTTACTAGTGGTAGGTGATCATTATAAACCATCATTATAATTTTCATGACTGAAATATTCTGCAAAAAACACAGGAAGAGTGTTAAAAATACATGTACTTCCAGCGACTCCTAGGAGCTCATTCAATAATAGCATCAAAAGTTAATGAGGTTCAAAAATGAAATCGGCCATTTTTTTTACCGTAAACCTTCAGTGAGATTGACAAATTAAATATACATTGTCAAACCTATCTGGCATGTCCTTAAATAACCATAGCTCAAACCAAACCAAAGTGATGATGATATACAGCTANCCCCCCCCCCCCCCCCCCCCCCCATCATTCCTCAATTGGTTTGGGCCACATGACCATTCATACCTGCAATGCTCAATTTTCATGTAAAATACTTCTCAGTGCTTTTCTAGTTGTTTCCTCATATGAGGAGTAAGTAAAACAAATCCTTGCTCCATGAATGATGGCCATGGCTGCCAGTTTATACACTTGTTAGCAATTAATTACAGTACCATTCTGAATAGTTTTGTTGTAACTATGCTAACAAGTATCTGTGTATTCTCAGGCCAGGCCCATGATAGGATTGTCTTAAACATAACGACCTTGTCATTGACATCCATCCTGCAGGTCACAACAGATAATACAAGGTCAGAAAATAGCACACCAGACACTACAACCGCTTCAGGACAAGTACAGATGACAGCAGCATTCATTAGGTATATCCAGCTATGTTTGAATTACTGCTCTACAGTCAGTCTAGCTTTTAATTGTAACACAATATCCTACACACTCGACACATAGCATTAGGAGTTAACACCTATGCTATATATGACACATTAAACAGAACAATGTATTGTATATTTAAAAACATGTTACTAAGAACTTTCTACTTTTTAATAAAAGCTGTCATGAAACCTACCACATCATCATAAGGTAAGGTTTCTAATCACAGACTAATCAAGAGCTGAAAAAATACCAATATGTAAGCAACTTGACTTGTTCTGATTTGGAGTCCTCACGCGTTGAGCTGTAAAGCAGGTAGTGATTTTTCTGATTTGTACTGGAAAGTAACTTTCATGAAATAGTATCTATTTTTTTTTTGAATGAACCTGGTCAAGTAGTATAGTTTTATTTTAAATTATTTTTAGCACAGTGTATCATTCAGAACAGTGAGGATATCGCACAAGCATTTGTACCATCACTCGAAGTAACTATGCACTTAGATGATGGTCCTATTACACCTTAATTGAGGATGATTGACAAGCATACAACAACAGTACATATATAGTTCTGAATAAGAAAATAATCATTTATCAAGGAATAAAAGTACCTTTTACAGGTTAAGTACCCAATTGAAGTGTTTGTCTGTTATATGAAATAGCATAAAATAAATTGTGTTATCAAACTCAAGGGTTGTCCAATTTGATTAGCTAGTCTGCAGGTTGATCTTGAAAAGTCTTACTAGCTCGACCTATATTTCCATAATTAATAATGTAAAAATTGTTCTAGTCCAAATGTCAAATCTAACAGCCCCATACATATAGGGCTAGTGGAATTGTATACACCCTGCTTTACCTTGAACAGTTCAACAAGTAACAGAACAAGAGATCCCAGAGGGATCTTGGCGCCCACCTTTGTACCATCTTCATTAGTTCTTTGTCAGTTCGAGCTTTTCTCTTCTTTCCTCTAATCTGTTTGATCGAGTGATATTAACAGTTAATGCACCTTGATGTAACTTTTGATCTAAACTTAATACTGATGTGTATGAAAGCCAACCTTCAAAGTGAGTTTGTCATTTCACATATTTACTAGTACAGTACTTAATGTGAAAGGAATAGAATCGATCATTGCAATATGAGAAACATCTGTTTAGTTCTTCCTTTAGCCATTTTGTTTTTATGATCAGTCTCCAAATATAACATGCACAACGACGGGTCAAGGGGAACCTACATATCAAATTTGAGAAAGATCCCTGAAGATATTCCTGAGAAATAGTACTAACAAACATTCAAAGTCAACAAGAGGCCCATGGGCCTTAACGGTCACCTGAGTCTACAGTATTTATTTTTGTTGTTGAAATATGTACCAATTTGAGTAAAAAATAGTATAATGTTAACTTAACTTTGTCAGGACCATGAGCTGATCATTCCTAGACCAATTTTAAGTGAGATCGGCCTATTAGAACTTAGTAGCAAAATAGCGGCCATGGCAGCCAAATTGTATTTCTGATTGACCCGAAAAATAACAACACTTTGTCAGGACCATGATTCGATCATTCCTACAAAGTTTCAGTTCAATCGGCCAAGTAGATCTTTACTTTAAGTTTGAAATAGTTTACCAAAATGGCAGCTGTGGTGGCCATATTGGATTTCTGATCGACCTGAAAAATAACAACACTTTGTCAGGACCATGAGTCAATCATTCCTACAAAGTTTCAGTTCAATCGGCCTAGCAGAACTTGACTTTAAGTTTGAAATATGTTTTCAAAATGGTGGCCGTGGCGGCCATATTGGATTTATGATTGACCTGAAAAATAACAACACTTTGTCAGGACCATGAGTCGATCATTCCTACAAACTTTAAGTTCAATCGGTCCAGCAGAACTTGACTTTAAGTTTGAAATAGGTTTTCAAAATGGCGGCCGTGGTGGCCATATTGGATTTCTGATCGACCCAAAAAATAACAACACTTTGTCAGGACCATGAGGCGATCATTCCTACCAACTTTCAGTTCAATCGGTCCAGCAGAACTTGACTTTAAGTTTGAAATAGGTTTTCAAAATGGTGGCTGTGGCGGCCATATTGGATTTCTGATCGACCCGAAAAATAACAACACTTTGTCAGGACCATGAGGCGATCATTCCTACCAA